AAGGGGTCCACGCCAAGGCTCCTTGCCCTGTGCCCAGGGGACCTAGAGACACATGCCCCTTCTTACCTTCAGTTTATGAGTTCTGAGCTTTTTACTTCACTTCCCAGGTAAACAGTACCGGTGCTCCGAGAAGGAAGCGTATCGCAGCTCCAAGTGGAGATGGACAGATTACTGCAGAATCTTCTCAGAGAATGATTCAAAACTCAGGCTATGGGAGGACAGTGTTGAGCATTTAAGGGAAGCTTCCTCACTGCGTACCCTTGGTTTAAGCTTGTGATTGCTTTAAACATTTCTTATAGGCACTAGAGAGAGAGAGAGAGAGAGAGAGAGAGAGAGAGAGAGAGAGAGAGAGAGAAAAGGAGTTTAAAATAAAAGGTGTTTATATCAAAACGTGGAGTAGGAGATGTGCAGGCTGCAAAACCGGTCCACGGGGAGGTCTGAGTCCATTTTCTCTATTTTATGCCTAATGCCCATTAAACAAAAGCTAATCAAGACACTACAGGAATAGCCTAAGTAACCTTCATCCCTAAAGAATATCTATTGACTGTAAAATATTTTGGGTGAAAAGACATGTTTTTTTCTTGAGAAAGAAAAGCAGATAATGCACTGCTCTATTTGGTGTCTAATATTTTCTCTGACAGTATATTCTTAAAATTAATATTACTCTGAGCACAAATTTTTCAAAGCTGGGTTTCCCAGTCCAGAAATCTACTGGGTTTAGAGTAGGTAAGTTTTATAGGCTTTAGATGTCAATACAGTTTTTAGATGATAGTAACAAAATGAAAGATTCTTAATTGCAGTGTGAATTTGTTTCATGTTAGGGCTGTCCAGGACAAATTGCCACAGACTGGATGGCTTAAAACAACAGCAGCAAGTTATTGTCTCATGGCTCTGGAGGCCTGACATCTGAAATCAAGGCATCAGCAGGGCCACACTCCCTCCGAAAGTGCTGGGGGGGATCCTTCCATGCCTCTCCAGCTTCTGGTGGCTACAGGCATTCTCAGGCTTGTGGCTGCAAAAATCTAATCTCTGCCTTTGTCTTCTCCAAGAATCTCTGTATCTCAAATGTTCCTCTGCCTTTCTCTGATAAGGACCCCGTCCTTGAATCCAGGATGACCTCAACTTGTGATTCTTAATTGTGTTTGCAAAGACCCTTTTCTCCCTAGACAGTCATAGTCACAGGTTCTGGGGTTTAGGATTTGGACATCGATTTTTGGGGCCACTATTTCTACCCTCTAAATAGTGTTATGCCCTAACATGGTAGGAATGAATCAGAGGCCCATGGTACAGTCTTTTGTCTGATGTCCACTTTTGTAAGTCTGTGCACAACACCATGTTCTAGAAAACAAAACAAATGCATGTGAGTGGTTTACAGAAACAAATGAGAGAAGAGGAGCTGGCTCACTGCCGTCCCTCCTTGTAGGTGTCTAAGTCCCACAGGAAGACAATGTGCTCTGAATCAGACCCACTTGGATTGAAACTGACTCTGCCAAGTCGCTGGCTGTGTGACCTTGGCCATATACTGAGCTTGGCTTCAGTCCCTTCATTTATGAAATGTGAGTTATAGAACTGACCTTGGAGTGTCACTTGGAAGATCAAAAATGTGCCACATGTAAAGCCCCCAGCACAATGCCTAGACAATCCTATAAATGTCAGTGTCCCCTTCTCCCCATGCAGAGCCAGGACGGCTGAATCCCTGAGCAGTCAGTTTGTACTCTTGGGGTTCCCAGGGCCTGGCCTGGGTCCTCATATCTTACCTCTGCCAGCCTGAGCCTCTGTTCAGGCTCCTTGTTCCCACAAGACATGTCCAACTCTCTCATTCAGTCTTTCTCTTTCACTGCCTTTGTCTCCTGCCCAGAAACAGAGTAGCTTTTCTCATCTGTTCATTAGGAAGCCTGGTGTTCAATCTCAGCTACTCAGTTCAGTTCCAAAAGGCTCCGAGTAGGCTTGGAGGAATACACTGATGAATCCAGTAGTCCTGGCCCACAGGATTGGGCCCTGGTGACTTTTTCAAATATTTCTGAGCTAGCTGACGTGGGGACCCAGAGCTAGGCTTCCAGTGGCTGCCTGTGGGCAAAAAACAGTGAACGCTTGCTCAGCTTGGCTGGCAGTTCAGAAACTGTGGACTGAATGGGGATGCTGCTCATGGGAATGAAGATTGAGTCTGGAGACAGGGGCAACAGGCCCTGGGGTTGGTCCACGTGGGACCATCTTCTGAGCTGCGACAGAAGGTTGGCTGCTTGGCTTAAGGAAGGAGCTGTGGGCTTGGAACCTGAGGACCTCTGGGTGAATCCCACAAATTGTCTCTGAACTTGTTTTCAATAGTGCAAAAAAACCCCAGAAGTTATAGGTTGTTTGGGAATATAAATAAGATTATGGGCGTAAATGCAAGTAAATGTTATTAACTTCAATGTATTATGCAAGTAACATAATAGGGCAGTTATAAGCCACACACCTTGGGGCAGAGTCCTCTCTGTTCCAAAACTACTACTCTTAAATGTATGTAGATGCGCAATGAGTGCCATGAAACCCAGGTAAGGTCAAGCCAGGTCAGGAGGAGGGGCTTCAATGCTGGTCACTTCTGGGGCAGTGGATGTCATTGTTTACCAAGAGTTAGGGTCGGGTCAGGGCTCACACCTTAAAGTACTTGCTAACTCCCTGGGGATCTTGTGAAACTTTTTGTTCAGCTGCTCTTCTCTAGGCCCTGAAATTCTCGAAAGTTCCCAGGTGTTGCCCACACTGCTGGGTGAAGGGCCACACTTTAAATAGTAAAGGGCAAGGTAATACCCCAAATTTAGTCACACAAAAACTCTGGTTTTCTCAAAAGATCTACACTCTGGGCTTCCTGAAAACCATAAGCCTAACTTCTCTTTCCTTTTTCACTGAAAACTCGTCTTCTTTAAGTCAACTGGCAGAGGAGACATTTCTCAGGGCAACCCAAATAGCATGGAGGCAGCAAGGCCGAGGAAAACTATCGCTTTGATGACAGCCACTTCCTCAATCCTTTAGCATGCTGACCCAGGATGACAGGAGGGACTTTAGTCTGCCAGACTTTAATCCGCACATTTAAGATAATAGCTCTACAAGTCAGTCTAATTTTCAGCAAAAACCCTAATCGACAATTCTTTTTCTCCTTTGTTTGGTTTTAATTTGTCGTCCCTTAACATTTTACTCTGATTCCATTTCCTATGAGGCCTCACCGTGTTCTCATTTCTGTCCCTCGCTCTCAACTCTCTACATGCCTGCATGGCCTCCTCTGTGCCTCCGCCCTAACACTGGTGTCACTGTATCTGGCCACCCTTTTATGGGTCTCCTTTAGCCTGGTTTTCCTTGAAGGAAAAGATGATGACTCTCAATTCTGTGTCTTACAAGTCTCGGATGATGTCTGGCATGTTACTAGGCACTTTCGTTTTTGTAACAGTTATGGATATAAAGGAAGTTTGTTGAAACAAAGACCCTTTGCTAATTCTCACTTAATCCTGAAACAATTCAGTGAATTTTTGTTGTGTCTTAATTTGCAGATGCAGCAACAGAAGCTTTTAGAAAGGTAAGTGACTTACGGAAGGTCACCCACTTGTCAAGTAATAGAGGTGGGCCTTGAAGCCTTGAATGAAGGTGTGTTCTGATCGTTGCTCTGACGGAACATCCAGGGCATTGGTTCCCAAATGCTGGTTCATGGGCCAGCACCAGCTCAGGACCAAAGGCTCAACAACCTTTGATTTGAGGACTATATGAACATAGAAATAAATTTACTCAAAGAACTGCCTTCATGATGAAATCATGTCCATTCTTTTCTGATATTCAAGTGAACTTCATTTCACAAAACAATGGGGATAATAATTGGTAGTTGTTGTTATTTTTTTTTAACATTCTTACTTGGCATAATAGACTGACCATACTGAGTTAGAATCTTTTCTCTTTTCTTTTTTAGAGTCCTGTGAAATCCCAATGCCTGGGAGTGACTGCTGTAGAGGATGTTAAGAAGCAGTCAACAGCAGAGCCCCTGTTTGAGGGCAATTAGGCAGGTGTCTTTAGTGGTGATTTTGAGATTACAGTAAAAATTCCTGCTCATAAATATCCTCTCTCCCACAATGCTCAGCTGATTCTGAGCAGCCTTTGATAATAAGATTGGTGCATGAAAGGAGTACCCTTTCATTTGAGCAAAATGGTTGCAAGCTTTCTCTTTTAAAGAGTTTTGTCCAAACGGTCACTCTTCATGGTGCCTGGGCGAATAAAGACTGGGATCAAGGCAGCTAGACTTTCTGGGCAGGGGGTGGAGGAGAGGTGAGGAGAGAGAGGGGAGCAGGACCCTGCCCAGGAGGGCCAGGGGTGTTTGATTGGGGAAATAGGGCTATTGAGCAAGCGTTAAATAATGGGCACACCCAGAGCAATGTTGAACAAGCGCAGAGAGAAGATGCAGGAATGTGGAGGTCAAAGTTCACTTGTTAATCTACCTCAAAGAAAAAACCCAAATCAAACACAAAAAACCAAAAATCCCATGATATCATCAGAAACAGGCCAGTTTCCACATGGAAGCACCAGATGAGCTGGTGGAATTCTTATAGTTTCTCTGTTTCAGGAAGAATAGACTCATGGGTGATCCCTTTCACAGTGTGCATATCATTGTCTGGAGATTAAAATGACTGCAGGATAAATATAGGTAATTAAAATCCTTCCCTTACCGTATTTCACAACACTCAGCCCTACCCAACAGCATCTACTGGGTACCTTACAACTACAAAAAGACTATGACTGTAAAAAAACATAGATCACAAAGTGGAAGACACAGTTAAGCATGTACCATGACCCCAGAAAGGGCTTGGTGTGTGATGGACCTCATTTTTATTGTCAGCTTGGTGAGTCATAAATCACTGCACCCAATAAACTCCTGATATATTTTCTGAGTGAACAGAAGTCACCATCCTGATTGTAAAATTACCCCTCATTGCCGAGTAGCTCAATGTTAAAAAGCCACCTTTATGAGGCAACAAGCATTAGAGCAACATCAGAGAGATTGGATGTGATCAGAACAAATGGACTTTCTTGCCATGTAATGGATTTATTGTGTCAGATGTACAAGTGCTTTTCCCTGAACCAGGTAATGTTGAAATTAATGGTGGTCAAGAATCAAATCTGGTGCTATTTCACATCTGCAAATTTTTCAATAATTATAAGGAGACAAGGACTTCTGGCTGGCAACGGAAAGAGTGGTCCAGGAATATTTCTTCACTATGAGAGCCATGACCCCAACATTGAGTGTAAGCATATATTATGTCTTCATTGATCCGTGGGCGAGGGTGGGATTTATATGTTGGTTGTTTTTGAATGTGGGTGGCTCTTTCTGTTGAAAGGTCCAGGCAATACCCTCAACAACTGATCCCAGGGAAGTGACTGGGGTTTGGCACATGATGACATGTAAGGTAGAGCCTCAGCTCTTAGGTCACAACCTAAACGGAACATGAGGTGTGTGTGTGCACAAAGGTGGACAATGATGACCTGCTGGAGAGAGACACAGACAAGCGGGAAGGGAGAGATGCCTCCAGGCTAGGGTGCGGAGGGCAGCTTCAGAGAGACCGTGGAGCATTTGCATTGCACCTTCAGGATGGGGTCTAGGAAGAGGACTTAAAAAGATTTGATATTTTGATAATTAAGATAAGGGCACATCAAGATGTAGGCAGGCAAGTGTATTCCTGAAAGACAAAACAGCATGAGTAGGGGGCACAGGGCTTATTCCACTGGGGGTGGTCTGGGGCAGTGGAGTGCAGGCCCCTGACCATGAGCAGAGGACATTCAGGTTGGAAGACAACGTGGGCCTACATGGCAGAGCTTTGAAAACCAGACTGAAGTGTTTGGTTTTTATTCTGTATGGGATTGCTGTAGACTGACACTATTGTTTGCCAACCCGGCAGGTATTACCGACTCTTTTTTTCTGTTTGCAAACAGAGCCACACTGAGCATAAACTTTGCATTTTATAGACCAACGGTGTTCATAAAATGGTTTTGTAGGTGTTTGACCAGAGGAATGAGGCTTGAGCTGATCAGTCCTTTATTTGCACAAACTCAGAGGGAGGGTGGAAAGTGGGGAGGAGGGAGAAAGACGTGAGACAAAAAGACAAAGTGGAGGCTGTGAGGTGTTGAAGCAACAGGGCACACCTGAAAACCTTCTAGAATATAAAAATGTACAGATGTCACTTCACGAAATACTGGAAGGGTGATAACTTCCTAACAACTCTGGGATGATAACAACACAATTTATTTTGATTTGCTTCATCCTAGCGGGCAGCTGAATTCCTCCACAGAATTGTATGATCTGTACCAACCAAGGAGAGCGGCCACCAGAAGGCTCTCCCCGTGTGCTCTGACCTGTGCTCTTGGCAGGCCTTCCCACCCTCTCCCTGCCCCCCTACAGTATCAGTAATTATGTGAAACATAGACAGACTGTAGTGGGTTGAAGGCCTAACCCGCAGGACCTGCAAATGCAACATCATTTGGAAACAGGGTCTTCACAGATGCAATCAAGTTAAGGTGAAATCTAAGAAAAGAAATCCCAAGAGTTCCCATGGCAAAGAAAAAATCTTTCTTCCTTTTCATTTTTCCTTTGTTGTCTATATGAGATTATGCTGTTAACTTATTGTGGTAATCTTTTCACAGTTTATGTACATCGAGCCATTTTGCTGTGCCCCTTAAACTTGTACAGTGCTGTTTGCCAGTTATATCTCAATAAAACTGAAATGAAAAAAATGTTAAGATGAGGTCACACTGGATTGGGGTGGCCCTTAGATCCAATAACTGGTGTCTTTAGAAGAAGGGGGGATTTGGACCCAGAGACGGAGGAGACCCGTAGGGAAGCAGGCCGTGTGAGGCAGAGGCCAAGGGAGGCTGAGACTGGTGTTACTCATGTGCCATAACATCAAGAATGGCCACAACCATCAGAAGTTGGCTGAGGCAAGACAAGATTCTTCCCCAAAATTTCCAAGGAAGTGTGACCCTGCTGACACCTTTATTTTGGATTTCTAGTATCCAGACCCTTGAGAAAACACATTTCTGTTACTTTTAAGTCATCTGGTTTGCAGTAATTTGTGACTACAGTCCCAGGAAACTACACATAGACCAACATTGTTGTGCTGGGTGAGAGACAACTTATATGCTATTTATAAGAGACAAACTTTACATAAAAAGACAGAATGATTGAATGTAAAAAAATGTAGAATAATATAGCAGACAAACACTAGCCAATAGAAGGCTGTTGTAGCTCTATTACTATCAAACCAGTTAAGGTCTACCAGAAAAAAAGAGGGACATTTCTTACTGATAAAGTAAGCTAGTCAACAGAAACACGTAACAGTCTTTAATTGTGTACAGCCAATAGTATGTTTTTTTTTATTGTTAAGGTATTATTGATATACACTTTAATGAAGGTTTCACGTGAAAAAAACAATGTAGTTACTACATTTACCCATATTATTGTGTCCCTCCCATACCCCATTGCAGTAACTGTCCATCAGTGTAGTAAGATGCCACAGAGTCACTACTTGCCTTCTCTGTGCTACACTGTCTTCCCTGTGAACCCCAACCCACACAATGTGTATTAACCATAATACCCCTCAATCCCCTTCTCCCTCCCTCCCCACCTGCCCTCCCACACCCCTCCCCTTTGGTAATCACTAGTCCCTTCTTGGAGTCTGTGAGTCTGTTGCTGTTTTGTTCCTTCAGTTTTGGTTCATTGTTATGCTCCACAAATGAGGGAAATCATTTGGCACTTGTCTTTCTCCACCTGGCTTATTTCTTTCACTGAGCATAACATCCTGCAGCTCCATCCATGTTGTTGCAAATGGTAGATTTTGTTTCTTTCATATGGCTGAGTAATATTCCATTGTGTATATGTACCACATCTTCTTTATCCATTCATCTACTGATGGACACTTAGGTTGCTTCCATATCATGGCTATTGTAAGTAGTGCTGCAATAAATATAGGGGTGCATATGTGTTACTGAATCTGAGAAATTATATTCTTTGGGTAAATTCCTAGGAGTAGAATTCCCAGGTCAAATGGTGCTTCTATTTTTAGTTTTTTGAGGAACCTCCATATTGCTTTCCATAATGGTTGAACTAGCTTACATTCCTACCAGCAGTGTAGGAGGGTTCCCCTTTCTACGCATCCCTGCCAACATTTGTTGTTCTTAGTCTTCTCTATACTGGCCATCCTAACTGGTGTGAGGTGATATCTCACTGTGGTTTTTATTTGCATTTCTCTGATAATTAGTGATGTGGAGCATCTTTTCATGTGCCTGTTGGCCATCTGAATTTCTTCCTTGGAGGACTGTCTGTTCATATACCCCACCCATTTTTTAATTGGGTTATTTGCTTTTTGGTTGTTGAGGCATTGTGAGTTCTTTACATATTTTGGATGTTCAACCCTTGTCGGATATGTCGTTTACAAATATATTCTCCCATACTGTAGGATGCCTTTTTGTTCTGTTGATGGTGTCCTTTGCTGTACAGAAACTTTTTAGTTTGATGTAGTCCCATGTGTTCATTTTTGCTTTCATTTCCCTCACTCGAGGAGATGTGTTTAGGAAAATTGCTCATGTTTATATTCAGGAGATTTTTGCCTATGTTTTCTTCTAAGATTTTTATGGTTTCATGACTTACATTCAGGTGTTTGATCCATTTCGGGTTTACTTTTGTGTATGGGGATAGCCAATAATCCACTTTCATTCTCTTGCATGTAGCTGTCCAGTTTTGCAATAATATGGTTTAACAACATACATCTCTCAGAAACAGATTGAATAAGCAGGATAAAAAAATCACTACATATAAGACAATATTCGAGGAACACAAGTTTACCAACTTGACTTGAGCACCAAGCTCAACAAGGGCAACCAACCCACAGCATGGGTGTCTTGCCAAGTGATGGCGGTTTTTAGTTTATTTATTGTTAGGGCAGTTCCTCCTTGTACTAGTTATGCAGACACGCTATAAAGATAGAGTAGGAATAGCTTGCACCCTTACTGGTTTATTTCCTAAATCCCAGGGCTTTGGCAGCAGAACATTAGTGCCAGAGGAGGAAGAAAGGGGCCAGGACACTTAGGGTTTGAGAGGCTCAAGAAATATATGAATGATGATAAGACCAGAATTATAAGCACAGAGACTTGTCTGGCCAGGGGTGGGAGTGGGAGTGGTGGGGGTCAGTTCATGAAGCCAAGCATTGTGAGCACGGGAACCAGTGTGGGTAATGACTGAGGGGAGGAGTCGGAGTCCAGCTGCAGGGAAGCAGCACCGCCTTGCTTTTCTCCCTTGAAAGATGGGAGAGGTGAGGCTGTAAAAAGAGGAATGAGATAACGAGTGGGCCCTTTGGAAAATTACAGGAAGCTGTGGAGTACTGAGGTTAAGATCATGGACTTTGGAGTCACACTGCCTGAGTTTGAATCCAGCTTCCCCTCTTACTAGCTGTTGTGATCTTGGGCAAGTTACTTAACCTCTCTGTGCCTCTTTCCCCCAACTAAAGAATGGGAATAACATTGGCTCTAGGTTGTAAAATTGTTGTAAGAATTAAACAAGTTGGTAAGATTGTGGTATTCCTGACACACTATTCCTCAATTTGCGACTTCTGGGAGGAGGCATGTCAGAGAAGCTGTTCTGGTTGTAGAGGTCTAAGCGGTGGAAAGTGCTGGTGCAAAGGTACAGGTTAGGACAGAGGGTGCCTAGTCATGGACCTCTGGGCCTTTGCACCATCTTCATAGCATCAGAGAACCCCGAGGCAGGGGGTCTTTGCAGGACTCCAGGGTGCTGGGTGAGATGCTGGAGTATGGAAATCAGAGCACCCTTTTTGTTGCTAGGCTCAGCAATATTTCCATCGTCTTTTCTCTACTGTTTATGCTTAATGAAAGTTTTCTGATTATGAAGGGTCTATATGGCAGCATTAGTTGGAATAGCTAAAAATTGGAAGCAATCTAAATGTCTATTAATAAGGGAAAGAATTAATTAATTATAATATGTTTGATGATACTTGATGGCAGTTAAAATAAATGAATTGGGTCAATGACTCAGACACCTGAATGGCTCTCAAAATCTAATGTTCATGAAATAGTGAGTTGCAGTGTAACAAAACATGTGTATGTTTATGAAAGCACAATATACAGAAGAGTATACAGACAGAGACTAGACGGATGTATACTCAGGAAGAGGAGGCCTGGGACTAGGAGCACAGTGGACTCGAACTCCATCTAGCACATTCTAGTCCTTCATTAAGTATCCAAAGCAAAAACAGATGTTAACTCTGAGTGCATAGTCCATTACTTCCCTGTACTTTCTCCTGTTCTTAAAAAAACTTTTCATGCCCGTTGTAGAAAATTTAGAAAATAAAGTACAGAAGATGCAAGTTAAGTATCATTCAGATGTAATCCCTACCATCATTTTGTGCTATTTCCATGTGTGTGGAGAAGTGTATTTGAAATTTGTATTGTATGTTCAGTTTTGTAAACTGGTTTTAAACTGCATTTTCCTATGTTGTTAAATATTCTTCAAAAACACTTGCTAAAAAGAAAACCACAGACTCAAAACGGAGTCACTTATACTAGGCTATGTCACCAGACTTGAGCTTAGTGTCTAACTTAATTATAGTTTCAACCTCCCCCAGAAATGCAGTCTTAACTGGTCAGTCCAGAATCTTCTGGTCAGCACCTGTGATAATCTGTGGTGGGCCCTCTCTCCCCTCCAAGGGAAGATGAGGTAATCTGTCTAGTAAGACCCCTTTTCCTTCCCTCTAAAGGAAGGTGATCTTGCCTGAAACGATCCTTTCTTTTGCTGATGGGCCTCATTTCTGCCTAAGATCTTCCCATTTTGTACAGGTCTTTGGAGCTCCCTTCTACTTACTAGATGGGATGCTGCCCTATTTATGAATGGTTTAATCAAGCCAATTAGACCTTCACATTTACTTGGTTGCCTTTTGTGTTTTAACACATGATGCTCAGTGGCTGCAAATTAGCTCTGCACACACTGCAATTTATTCTATCATTTTCCATAACTAGATACATTAAGCATTGCTCACTTTTTGTTGCTGTAAATAATGAGGACATGGGCATTATATATTTCTGATTATATACTTAAGATAAATTCCTGGGAACAGAATTTTGGGTTCAAAACGTATGAGCGTTTTTATGGCTATTGACACACACTGCCAAATCGGTTTTCCAAAAGGTTGGACTGATTGACACTCCCACTAGTACTGTATGGGATGCTCGCTGATTTTAGGGTCTTTTAATTAGATAATAAGACACCTAAACTCATTGTACTTCTATTGAAAATTTGTTTTTCCTAGTCTCCCAGGCTCATTTTCTTTTGGATTTCCTCTAACAGTGGTTCGTTCAGACCTCAGGAAGGGAGTGGCTTTGGATGAAAGACAGGGCAGGTGGGTGTGAGAACCTCAGAGCCTAATGTGTGCTCCTGCAGGAACCTCAGCGTCAATCTCTTTCCTCTGATGAATTCAGTCACTTTGTCATTAGATTGGGGAAGTCTTATTACTGCTCACCATCTCCTGCTCCGTGGCCAGCACATGCACTACAGATGTCCTTCGTGTGAAAGACAACCTGCCATTTTGTAGTAGTTGCTGTTTTATATCAATAGGAAGCTGATACAATATTCTCATCAGAAACACTGATTTAACTGAAA